GTGGGGGGGGGGGGGGTGTAGTTAGGGAGATCTGTTCAGTTCATGGTTCGGCAAATTGGATTGGTGAGATTTCTAAGTAAAGTTTGGTGAACCTACTGTCCAGCACAAGCATCCAATAACTGTCACTAACCACGGAGGTAGTTCAAATATCAGTCAAAACATCAAAGAAATTACAACAGCATCCATATTAACATAAGCAAGTTTCATTATTTCCTCCCTTTTCTTATTTCTACAATATCTTTGACATGCGGGCCTCCTAACTCTGCCTGATACAAATCGTTGCATCTCAGTATAACATTTGACTAGGGTATGGTAAATATCACTGCAACTATAGAAAGCAGTCTAGACTAGATTGGACTGAGATAAATAATATTGAGACTGGCTCCATTAAGCACCAACCTTTTAACAAGGTCACCTGTCAACAGCTCTTCATTGCCAGAAAATTTATTTATTCCGAATAAAATTTGAAAAGGCATATGTGCAAGCATAAAACTAGTCTAGAATGAAAAAGAAACGACTGCAATATCAAGATATATCACAAGAATAAGCAATAACATAAACTCTTCTTACCTTTGGCATATATAAGTCTGTAATCTCTCCATATTGTTCAAAATAACTGCAAATTTTTTTATAGCATAAGGTTAATTTTTTTCTGGTATTTGAAACATAATGTCATGCCCTCACAACAGCCATCACCACCCAAAAAACGAAAAACTGTAATCTCTAGGAAAAGTTTACCTTCGGAACATCGATTCTGTGACTGAATGTGGTATTCTGGCCACAAAAATCCGAGTAGATTTCTTAGCAGGTGCCCTCATTTCTTCCTGTAAAGTTAATTTAGAATGAAAATGTATTACGTATAAAGAAAATCAACTTTGCTAACTGGAAATCAACTGTTATCACCGCCCCAAGATGATAAACTCATAAGAAAACAAACAAAAAAAAAAAAAAAAAACCTATTCTAACTTCCTAGCTTTACCTTTGGAGTGGCGATCTTTACTTCAAGAGTTCTATTTCCAAGGACATGATCAATTTCCAGTACACTCTACAAAATAAAATCATAAAGTTATAAAGAGATCTCTGATGGATTATTAAGAAACATATAAATAAAGTTATGTTAGGCATTAAATCAAAGGGAGATAAAAGTTAGGATAGGCTTAACTGGTATTTTTATACAACATTCTTTTCAACCATCCAATGTGAAACTAAACTCAATATCTTAAAATGTCTTAGTAATCTCTCTCTCTCTCTCTCTCTCTCTCTCTCTCTCTCTCTCTCTCTCTCATGTGAGAACACTCCCCATCAACCATCACTCACCCTCAAGCAAAAGTTTATTAAGTATCATGCACCTATAACACCATCAAAAATCTATACCCATCATGAGAATCGCAAGCTCTTAAACTTGCTAGAAAAATCAACCAAAAACTAAAAGAGCCACAAAAAATAATAACAGCTAGATTCCAACCAAAATATTAACTATAACATTGCTTATTAGAGAGTAGAACCAAGATAAATCAGTTTTACGATAAAAACATCAATGTTTAGACAAACTTTACACCAAAAAGGTTGCGTGATTGTCAACCATTTGGTATCTCGACACCAACGCACTTCTTTTTCATCCATCTGATGTGAACTAAATCCAAAAAATCATGTACTTTAGCAAGTCAGGTAGATGCAATTAAATAAATCTAACAAAAAGCTATGCCTAATTAACTAAAAGAATAAAGACATACAGTAAATTTGCATTGAACAAAAAGACCAATGACCAGTCAAGAAGAAAAAAAATGACCACTAGTGAAAAAGCCAACATTTGAGGCCATTTTATAGACCTATTATAAATTTCCTTACAAAACCTACAGCAAACTGAACATAGCCTTAGAGCATGATAGTCAGAGAATTAAATTAAAACAAGTATTAGATCATTAACGTGAAATAAAATGAGATTCAGGTTGTTCAAGGATAATGATGATTATAATAATGATTATAAAAATTCAGATTCGGGAAGATGGAGAAGACTGGAAGAAATTATCATATCAACCACAGCAAATAGCCACCACTGTCGCATCCTAACCATTAACTTCTAATTAAGATGGACCATTATAAAAATTTTGCCGAATCAATATTTTAGACCAATTCCTTCCCTAAACAACAATGTACACAAATAATAATCTTGCAGCAAACTTTGAAGCCGTGTTACCATGCAATATGAATGATAATAGAGAACTTCAATGGTAGAATCAACCAAACATTTTTCCAAAGATGAAGTGCCAAAAATGTTAGGGCATACAATCATTGTGATATTTTTGGACAAAATTCAGAAAGAAAATACTAGGAGAAACTGGTTTGTCACATCATCCACAAAGAAAGGCTCTAGAATGAGATCATATATGGAGGTCTAGGCCTTTTAAAGCAAAGCTAACATAAGATGCACAAAATCAAGAAAAATTTCAGGGTCCAAAAACTCTTAATTTTATCAATTATTAATTGATTGCATGAAAAAATAAAACCAAAAAGAACTTCAAAACAAACAACTCGATAACTTTCTGCCAAAAAAAATTTCAATAAATTCAAAACCACAAAAATTGATGCAGCTAATTAAAAATCATGCATTCTAAAAACTCAATGATACCGGAACTAGTAAGGAAATCAGCGGAAACTCAAAGCAATTTTTATTAGCACTAAATTAAGGTTACAACACGACACAAATGAAAAAGGAAAATACTCCCGCTAGGAGCGGAAGAGAAGATCCGAGAGCGGTGGTGGCATCGGTAAGGCAACAAGGTGTAAGGGAGAATGTCGAGGTCGGGTAGGCAGAAATGGTGGCTAGTGGCTGGTTTAGGAATTAGGAGAGTGGAGGCGGCAGGGAAAACTTCAGGGAGGGGTAGAAAAGGGCGTTAGTAGATGGGGGAATGAGCCGGAAAGCAGAGAGGCCAGCTTTAGGTTGGCTGACTGGGTGCAGAGGGCCAGTGGGGAGGGCTGGACAGAAGGGTTACAGTCAATGGGAGGTGGTGGCAGGATGGTTAAGGAAAGGGATGGACAGCAAAGAGAGAAGGCTAGGATTGTGTGGTAGAAGCTGGAAGGGGCTGCCAGGAGGTCTGGAGGGGACAGCTGGCAGCTGGTTGGAGCAGAAGGGATTGAGAAATATACAACACCACCTAGGAGCAAGACATACCAGAAGCACCACCACTTGTCGGATACAACCGTAGCAAGAAGAGGAGAACACTCCAAGAAGAATTCTAGAACAAAACAAGCAAAATTGAACCCTACAATCTGAAAACAGCAATTTATAAACTCCCATATGGTAAAGAAAAGGAAAGAAACAAGAAAGGAAACTCTCACACAAAAGAAAAATGGTGGGGCGGCAGAAATAATACAGTAAATAGTCGTTAAGAGCCTTCCCATACGGATAAGAGCATGTAAAGAAGGGCATAACCCACCCCATACTGATCCCATGAACAAATCCAACCTGGTCCACAGAAGCGATCATTCCTTGCAGAAATTATTGCTAGCTGACTCAGCCATTGGTGCCCCTTAGTCCCTGCGTCAGTCTCTCGGTGTTGGGAAAGCTTCGATCTCATTCGCCGAAGCTTATGGCTCCTCAAAGTACAACATCAAGCCGAAGAAGTTGAACATGGTTAAAACGATGTAGTCCCCGAGCAGGTCGATCTTGTAAGCATTGTCGTTCAGCTTCCAAAATACTTTGAAAGGTCCATCTGGCCTTAGCTTAAGCTTCGTTGAACGCTCCTATGGGAACTCGTTCCTTCTTTAACTGAGTTCACACGAGGTCGCCATCATGGAACGTTACTTTCTTCAAGAATTTATTCGCATGTGTCTGATTTTTGCGGTTCTACTTAGTAATCTCCTTGCTAACCTCCTCGTGGAGTTTCTGAATCGAGTGAACTCATTTTGTAGCGTCCTCGCCGACTTTTAAAGATGGCAGGAGTGGCAGCAACTCAAGTGGCGTGAGTTGATTGCGGTCGTACACAATCTCAAAGGGAATGTGTCCAGCAATTAGGTTGACGGATGTGTTGTAGTCGAGCTCGGCTTGGGCTAAAATAAGATCCTGCTACTTTATACTCTCCCCCACGAAGCACCTCAAGAAGTTGTTGAGGCTCCTTATCACCATCTCTGTCTGTTTGTCTGCTTGTCTGCGGATGAGCCCACTTCATACCCTTCCACCGGACACTAGGCGCTTCTGGACGAATCCCAAGCCACACGTTGAGTATTAAGTGGGACTAGTGTCCTCCAAAACTTGGCTTGGTGCATGGAATCCCCAAAACCATCATGTAGAGTATGAAGTGGGCCATCTTGGAAAATTCCTAACCTTACAATCTTCGTAAAGTACAAATTCGTGATGTGAGAGGCGTCTAGTGTTCGGTGGCAAGTTAAGAAGTTGGTTATCCTAGAGAATCTATCTACCAAAACCATCACTTAGTCCTTGTTTTTCTGAGTCCTCAAGAGTCCCACCACGAATTTCATACTAACGCCCACCCATGATGCCTCCGGTACTGGAAGTGGCATGTTCAATCCTCCCGTCTTCGCCAGATGGCAAGTCCTACACTGCATGAAATGTCGCCCCACAACTCTCGTCAGTCGGGATCAAAAGAAATGCTCTCTTATGAGAGCGAGACTCGTGTCCCTATTGAAGTACTCTGCTAATCCTCCACTGTGCTCTGGTAGAAAAAGTATTCATCTGCTCAATAATACTGCCTCGTTGGATTCTCTTGACATTGCTCACAAATGTCCCTGAAGTCCTTGTCTACTTCATACAGATCCCTTACGACCTCAAAACCCATAACTCAAACCTTCTTGGATGTGATCAGCAGGTGTCGACGACTTTGCTACGTGATTTTTGCTTCTCGTCTTGTGCTTGAGCACGAACTGGAAAGATGCTAGAATTTCCACCCAGGTAGCGTGTCGGCCCTTCAGTATGCTCTGACAGTTAAATAATTTTAAGGTCTTGTGATGCATAAACAGTGTGAACTCGCTCATCAGCAAGTAATGACTCAAAGGGCTGTCATAATGGCATAGAATTCGTCATCGTAAGTCGAGTATTTCCTCTTGGACTCATCAAACTTCTAAATGAAAAAAGTGACAGGATGTCCTCCCTGGCTCAGCACTGCTCTTATCCCCACGCCAAAGGCACCACATTCTATCTAGAAAAGTTAATTAAAGTTCTATAATGCTAGCATGGGCGCCAGAGTCACCTTTTCCTTCAATGCGACTGTCCTAAGTTACTGTCGTTCAAGCAAAATCCTTCTCTTTCAAAAGTTCGGTCAAAGGGGCAATGATAGTGTTGAAGTTCCTAATGATCTTAGGTAAAATGATGCTATCCCCAAAAATTATCTTAACTCGGTGAACGACTGTGGTGCGGTTTAGCTGATAATGACATCTATCTTTGTGGAATCCATCTGAATGCTTGCACTAGATAGGATATAACCCAGAAAGCATCATGACTTGTCATGAAGTGACATTTCTTCGAATGGGTATATAGTTGCTCAACTCACAGTATCTTGAATATTGCCTACGTGATGCAAGTGGTCCTCCAATCCATTGTAAAATAGCTTCCAATGTGAGCCTGAAATACCTAGTTCATCAATCTCATAAAAATTTTGGGCGCACTCGACGGGTTGAATGTCATAACGGTTCATTCCTAAAGTCAATCTCGCGTCTTAAAGGCGGTCTTCCACTCGTCTACTGCTCTCATTCGTATCTGATGATACCCATCGCGCAAGTCAATCTTGAAGAAAATAGTAGCTCTGTGTAACTAGTTTAAGAGATCATCCAAGAGGGGTATAGAAAAACGACACTTTATAGGGATCTTGTTGATGGTCTTGTTGTCGAAGCATATCCACCATGACCTATCTTTCTATAGCACATCAATGCAAAAAAAAACACACGAGGTTGTGCTCTATCTGACTAATCCCCTCGCAATGAAATCCTGCATCTGTCGTTGTAACTCATTGTACTTCACAGGTCAATATGTAGGCACGTCGGTTTGGCAATATCAATTCCGGTATAAAGCCTATAGCGTGTTGGATGTCC